GTCATGAATACACTCTTAGAAGAAAAGGTTCTATATAGAACCTTAAAAGGTTCTATCAGCGCTACATATTTGGAACCCCTAAAAGGTTCTATACACTCTTAAAAAAAGGGTTCCTCTGGGTTCTATATAGAACCCTGGGGTTCCATACTTAGCCAATAGAACCTTTTACCAAAAAAATGGTTCTATATAGAACCATTTTGGAGTTCCATATGAAGCGGGAGATGGAACCTTTTCTGGTTCTAAATAGAACCATTTCTTCTAAGAGTGATATGAAGGAGGTTTTATGCACGTTTATGACAACTGTCATTGAAGTGTCATTCACACAACACAACCTGTCATAAATATGTCATAAACATGATATAGCAGATTAATCATCACATTTAAGAAACCACTTAGCTTTACACTACATAGATTTGGCAACCATTTGTTAAACTCATGTCAAAAAAAGGGTGGTGATTAGGTGATTATATTTTTCCAAGGGAAATTCTGTTGAATGTGCCATCATGACAATGACACTGTGCCATCACGTGTTTGTGGGGGTTTAAATATATGTTTAGTCAACAAGTGCTTAAAACAATGACTAGTGTTTGTGTAAAACACTAGGCCTACACATTATTTTCATATCAGATACTTCACAGTGTACAGAAAGAACCAGTAAATACTTTCTCATTTTTAGAAACATGCAGTCCAAAATGAATTTTAAACATGCTCAAACCATGACACTTTCCTGTGTTCAGTCTGTTGAATATAATTTTAAAAAGCCCTTGCCACAAAGGTACAAGCATCATAGCTGACACATATCTGTTTTTATGGTTCTCACGGATAACAGACGAAGCCAAGCTTTCTTTTGAACTAATAATTTGATGTAATCGATTTTCCTGCCTTCACACAGAACACTGTACAGACCTAGTCTTTATATTATACAACATGCTTTTATTATGAATATAGTGTCATTAGATTAGAAAATTGTTTGCTATAGGTTTATTTATCGTTATCAGGGCTGGGCTTATGAAGACAAAATATGCTCTATAAAAATCATGACAACTTTCCATTTTGAGCTTCATGTGACCCAATTATAGTTGTGAAAATCACGTCTTGGCGCCATTGTTTTGGCAGTATGACACATCCTTTTTAGCTCATATAACAGATATAATACATATAATGTATGAGTTTTTTATTAAGCAACATCATTATACAAACTATAACCTAGAAATGGGCAAAACATAAACTCAATATGATGTGGCCCTCACATCAGTATCTGTTTATCGTGACTATTGTGCAGTTGAATTGTTCCCATATGTTGGGCCAATTTCCAGAGAAGATCTGAGATTAAATAGAAAAGCAATTGTGGTTCACAAATCCTTGTTAATTACTATTTCCATTGTTTAACGGAAATAAGAAACCAAACTCCAGGGAAGTGCAGCTTTCTGGGCAACAGCAACAATAAGCTCAGCTGTGTGCATGATAGAGAGCCAAATAATAAGTTGAACAACTAGCAGCCTATCGAACTGAGTACAAATTGTATCTTTCTGTAAATTGCCAAGAAAAAAAGATTTGTTTCCAAAATCACAAAAACAAAAAGCTAACTGTGAGATCAAGTGCAAAATAAGAAATGAATGCACATTGTGAGAAATAAAGCTGCAATTAAAGGGATAGTTCACTTTGAAATGAATTTTTGATATGTTTAGCTTACCTCAAGGGCATCCAAGATGTAGGTGTCTTTGTTTCCACAGTACTTTCAATTTTGATATTTTTAGGTCAAACCGTTCTTGTCTATCAGTCATACAATGGAGGTTTATGGGGTCCACCTCAAAGAGCATGCACAGAGAAGTCAAAATTAAACATGATTTAATGACTCTAATTTAAGTACACATTGATGGCCTAAGACACGAAACGAGCGGTGAACATGAACAGTATTTCTATCGCTTTTATTTCGTTTTTACCTTTTATTACCACAGCCACAAAATGCCCGCGCCCTCAGATCAGTTGGACGTTTTTGTGGTTAAAAGAGGTAAAAATGATATAAATACTGTTCGTTTTCTTACACAAACCGCTCGTTTCATGTCTTAGGCCATCAATGTGTACTTACGTTTATGAGTCATTAAATCATGTTTATTTTGGACGACCATAGACCTGCATTGTATGACTGTTAGACAAGAACGGTTTGACCGAAAAATATCAAAATTAAAAATACTGTGGAAACAAAGACACCTACATCTTGGATGTAGGTGTAGGACACCTACACCTACATCAACTATAAAATCTTGTTTTTTGAAATTATACATTTTCACACATGTAATGTTTCCATATCATGTTTTTGCAGGGCAAAATATTATTATCTATTATTAAATATTAGCCTATATTATTTTATTTATTTTATTTTTTTTGCCTGGGCACAATATCAAAGAAAACATGTTTACAGCCAGAATGAAGTGACATTGGATAAATGGGGACATGGCTCAATAAGACATGCCACAGCTGGCCAGAGGCACTCGCTTTAACACTCTGTCCCCAAAAACACTGACCTTTGATTGAGCGTGTAAACAGAGCACAACATATTTTTGTCATCCAAATTAATGTAATAAAGTTCACAGTTGCTGGAATCAAATATCGGGCACTGAGAAGTCAGTAAACAGAGCATGTTATTGCAAATGGAGATGGTTCCAGGTTGAAAATATCAAATGAGATCTCATTGTTATTTTTGCAACAGCTATAAATAAAGGGAAAATTGAGACACCATGAAATCAAAACTGACAATCCTTATTTTTTTATGGAACGTTGCAGTGTTTGTTATGAATTATTTATCTGTGCACGACATTGTTTAAAAAAAATCCTTTAATCAAAATAACTTCCTCCTCCCTCTTCTCATCTCTTCTCTTCAGGACAACCTGTCAATCACATGACATCACAGCAATAGCAAACCACAACAATCCAATTAATTCCCGATTCTACATTTTTTTCTTGTTCGAAAAGCCGTTTCACTTTGATATCCGTCACAATAAGGGAGAAAAGACAACATTTCATGACTTCTTTGAATCCACACAGGAAAAAGTGGTAGATATATTTCTGCTTTATCTATAACAACCTAAAGTAGTCAATTGACCCTAGAAAAAATAAAGATATTTTACAGGAGCCATCTTAGAGCTGTCGACTATTTTCTAAGATGGCTCCTGTCTGTAAACACGAAGGGAAAGTCTGTCTTTATAAAGTATCTTCTTATTAAACGGTCTGTACACTTACAAAGTTCTCAATGCTTCATTGCATGTAGGGACCCTCATTATGTTACTGTGTTAGTGTGGGGCTATTTTGAGCCTTGTTAGTGGTATTAACTATCAATTTCTTTTTACTTAGTAAATGCCCCCATTACTAGCGTTATACGCTAAACAGTTTTTAGAGATAAAACTCTTTACATTCGATTATCATGAAAACAAATCTCAGAGAACGGTTGACTAGTAGGTACCGATGTTTATAGACCAAAGGTTCATTTTGTGCCGGAGTTCTCCTTTAATGGTCTTTAGTTATCCAAAAATAGTGCTGAGGTCCAATTAAAGATATACTTGTATATAAAGATATAATATATTTTTAGGCTTAATATTACTGTAAGAAATGTGCAGTGTGCAATAATGTTTAATTATAATCATATCAGTAAGTCTCAAGCGATATGTCAGTAAATATGTTATTGGATTTGTAATATCTTAAACTACATTTTGGTATAGGTTTTTTTTTTCACGGGATTTATTCATATTAAATAATATTTTTGATTTGAATAAAACCAGTTAGTGTATATGTTACCACATGATAGATATTTTCTTTTTCTAATTTTCTTTTTAATTTTTCTGACCTTTTTTTGTTGTTGTTGTTGTTGTAAAGTATATAAAAAAACAACCTCAGAGCTACATTTTCCTCTGGGATAATATAGCTTATCAAAAGAAATCAAGAAGCATTTCCTCCAAGCCAGATAAATATTAGATTTGCATTGAACTCAAAATAGCATTAAAAAGCAATAGCTTTGATCCAACCATATTTAGAACAAAGGAAATCATAATCAGCAAATCACCTGAACAGATTTTCCATTTCATTCTCAATTACCCTGACTTCTGCCACATATTCTCCATCTCTATTTCCTGTTTTTTACGACAAGACCTCCGCTCGAATGCTAGACGGATTCACACAGTGTGAGTCCGTGACATCAGCAGGGGTTGTAAGGCACGTGGGTGGGCTTCCTCCAGTCTACTGAAATCCCCCCATCACTTCCTGTATGCAGTACAAGGCCCCATTTGCGCACACATGTGGTTGGAATACACATTCATGTAAACCATTATCCTATAGTTATTTAATAATGACTTTGTGTATAGGTACCCTATACATCTACATCTTAATAGAAATTGTCTCTTTGATGTATAAAACTATATCAAAGTTACAGTATTTAACCAACTCAGAAAACATGCAAAGATCTAAAAATAAATCTTGTGGTTTCACACAATGGCATCAGACATTCAAAGAGGGCTCGCTCACCCAAAAAGGAAAATTCTGTCATTTACCCACGCAAATAAAACAAAAGATATATTTCTTTCTTTATATAAAGTCAATGGGGTCCAAAAACAACAAAAGATCGTATTATTTTTATGAAAAGCACTGAAAAACCTGTTTCTTGTTTTAATTTTGTTCATATATAATAAGAGATTCATAGAGGTTCAGAATGGTGACCGAATTTTCCTTTTTGGCTTTATTATCCAATAAAAGTTTGAAACCTGGCCAATCCATTTTTAGTTTGTATGCAACAAATTGATACAAATTGAAATTAAGAGGAAAACGTGATTTTTTTTTACGATTTGTTTTTTTTACGATTGCTTTCTACTGGAAATGATTCACTGAAGACCAAAGGCTGCTTGAAGGGCAGAAACACCCCCTCCCTCCACAGCTTGCGTTTCATTGGCTAAGCCAAGTGATGTCATGGAGGGTGAAACTGCATAAATAGCCCAGCACTGCTGACATTAGACAGAATCAAAAGTCTCAGACAACATTAACTATTAGACAGCCTCTTGTGGAGCATAGTAGGAAATCTTTTGACCTGCTAACATGTGCCGAGCACTAGAGCATCTGCCAACCACCTGTCTGGAAAGGTACGTTTCATATGTATTTATTTAAAAAATAATAATAATTACTGCCAGAATAGCGAGAAAAGCTCAAATGTCATTATTTTCTTTTTAACTAGACATTATAGCTTTAAGTCTTAATTTCTTTCAATATATCTATATAAAATAACTGTTCAATAACAATATATGTCTTTTTATCAATTCTGAGTACTTTCCCCCAATGAAATGACTTATCATTTTGTTCCTTACAGGGCAAAGGAGCTCAAGACTCGGTTTGGAAATTTTCTGCTAAAGCAAGAGCTTAATATCATGGGCCACTCAAAAAAAACTAGCAAGCTAACTCTGGAGGACAGACAAAAATGGAGCCAGTCTTTCCATGAACTCCTGCTTCACAAAGGTGAGTTTATATCAGTGGGGAAAAAATGGTAACATTTCAATTAACTGGTTTTATTTGAATAAAAAAATACTATTTCACGAAATCAACCTAAATGCATCAATTTAAACTCCAAAAAACCAACTTCATTAATGTTAAATTAAGTAAAAACAGCTCTTTAAGGTATATACAATTGCAGGTTACCACTTTTTACAGTTGCAATATTAAAGCACACCATTCTCAGGCTGTAGGATGAGAGCTATCAGGGTCGTCTAATGTTTTCTTGCATGTTTCTTTGCAGATGGACTGTGTGCTTTCACAGCTTTCCTGTCATCTGAGTACAGTGAAGAAAATATTGCTTTCTATTTGGCCTGTGAGGACTACAGGAGCACAAAGACCTCATCAAAGCTGTTCTCCAAGGCCAGGGCAATCTATGAGGAGTTCATCTGCTCTGACGCACCAAGAGAGGTAAATTTCCTAAGAATATCAAAAGCACAGAAGACTCACTCTTAATAAAAAAATGTTACGAATAAGTCTAATGGCAAATCCTTTCTCTGCATTTTCAGGTTAATCTTGATCACGAAACCAAAACCCTCACTTTGATTAATATGGAACGACCCACCCTGTCCTGCTTCAACCTTGCCCAGAGTAAAATTTACACCCTCATGGAGAAAGACTGCTACCCTCGTTTCCTCAAGTCCACAGTCTACCAGGAACTCATCACACAACATCTGGGTTAAATTACTCATGGCCACTCTGAAGACAGCAGCACCGGAACGCGTCCCAGATAAACACGGCATTTGTGGGACAGTCAGTGAACCATCTGAACCCGTTTCTTGAGGTTCAGGAGGATTGAACAGATTCAAAGCCAGACTGGAAGGCCTTGGGCATTAAAAACATTCATTCAATGAACACAGCAGTGAAGCACACAGGAAGATCACGGTTGTAGCACTGGATAATAACTGTGAAAGTGGAACGTCTTTTGCACATTTATGTCAAACTAATTGTGTGTGTGTATGTGTGTATTTTTGTAAAGCCTATGAGTATTTATTGAAAAGTTATATTGAAAATAGTGTTATTTATATTTGATGAACAAATTGTGAATTATTTATTGAACTTCAAGTGAAAAAAAAAAACTTGAATAAATTTTTTTTTACATTTAAACATTTGTCTTCAGCAATTTTTCTTTTTTGAATAATTATTACTCAGTTTAGAAATGTAGAATATATTATAGTTATTTAATATAGTTTTATTTGATTTTCCTTTTTTTATTATTATTTTATGTGATAGATCAAAAATCAAAATAGAATAAAATAAAATCCCCAAAGTAAAGAAAAAAATAAAAATAAAACTATGTTAGTGGGATATGCGGGAAGAGAAAATGCCTCTTACATATTATTATTATGACATTTAAGGGAAAGGTCATCCACTTTTTTTTTAATTAAATTTAATAAAAATTTATTCCAAACCTGTATGAGTATGTTTCTTCTACTGAACACAAATGGTATTTTGAAATGTTGGTCAAACAGGTGAAGGCACCCGTTGATTTCATTTTTCCCTTTATTGAAGTCAATGGGTGCCGCAAACTGTCTGATGACTAGCACTTCAAAATATATTATTTTCTGTTCATCAGAAGAAAGAAACTCATACAGGTTTGAAACAATTTGAAGGCTAGTAGGCTAAATGATGCCAAACTTTCATTTTGGGGTAAACTATGCCTTTAATGTCATAGTAAAATATGTAAGAGGCATCCCCATTTTCTCTTCCCACACATGCCACTAAGTCTTAATTTGTTTTTATTTACTTTATGGATTTTATTTTATTCTATTTTGCTTTTTGTATTATATGTGCAGCTAAAAGGAACTGTCATAATGAATTACGTCAGATACATTCCCCCTTTGCACTTCCTCCCCTCACACATCCCACTCACATGGGTTAATGGAGGCTCTTAGTCACCTTCACAACACAATGCCTGGCGCCTTTCTCAGTGAGCCTCATAAAGACTAAAGCTACTCTATTCACATACATGCATAATGAACTGCTACCAACAGGATAATTCAGTTTTTCCAGAATATACAAGGAACCAGAGGTGTTTTTTCCAGGAAAGCTCTGTCGAGATGAGGCTGGTTTCCATGGCGACCGCGTGGTCCACTCATCTCACCCACTCCACGCCTCTGCAGGATCCTGTTTACCCTCTGTTGTGATGGCACTGAGAGACAGCAATGCTTCAGCCGCCCACTCTGAGTCACCTGCTCTGCACCCCCTTCTTGCTGCCCTTTAAAACCCAATGAAGACCACAGTAGATGCAATCATTCTCACGATTAAGATATGAATAAGTATGTGTATATATGTGTATATGTGTATATATCTTATATATATATATATATATATATATATGTATGAACAACCTCAGATATAGAACCTGGATGTAATTATCTGGAAATCATCTCCCAACATATAGTATATATACCTTTTTTCATAGGCTTGTTAAACCAAGGGGTCATTAGCGCAGTGGTTCCAACGCAGAAGATGAAGCTACTGTAAGAGAATGTCTCTGCATGATTGCATCTGAAGCACATCTGTAATCACTCATTGGTTGAACGTTGCAAGGAGACGCAGCATCTCTTTCCCTACTCAGGGAACCATGGTTACAGTCTTAGCCAAAACATTCGAGGGAACATTTACATTGCAATGGGAATGTGAATACCTTCTATGCCATACTGAAAAATGCCTGTCCTAGTGTGAATCATGGTGAGCAAAGGCTAGGACATCAACACTCGAGAACCTGGTGAAGAGTCCAAGTCTGAATATAGAACTTCACAAATACAGTATGTGCGGAGAAGATCATCATGCCGGATCACACAGTTCTTGAGGGGAAATCCCTGATAACAAGGCCTTGGAGGCCACCATACTCCTAGTTCAGTGTGCTCTAATGGCTAGATGTGAGGGAAAGAATGTGCCTTGTACACCAAAAAAAAAATTGTGTAAACTATCCACTTGTCAATTCTTTGCATAGATGCTGGTGAACCCAACCTGGGTGAATCGAAGCATACCAACAGCCGGTCAGTTTTATACCACTGGGTATCTCCATGGACGTACAAGGATCAACCAAGGCCATGGCAGTGCAGGAAGAATCTGTGGCCAAGGTGGAGCAGGATGGACCAAAGGCCACGGCGGAACTTCCTCAGGCTTCCTGATGTGAAGACCTCTCGTGTAGCCACAGCAGAGAAGAGCCCCCAGGAGACCATGGCGGCACGACCTTCATGGTCCCTTCGTGGAGCCTACTCTCCTCTAACGTGTTGCCATGGCCGCTGCAACCTGTCTGCGGCATGCCCCATATAACATCCACCAGCACCACATACACGGGCAGGGTGGCTGAGGGAGTTCAGGTTCTACCTGATTATCAACCTCCTCAGCAATCTCCTGCTCATCCCGAAGAGCAATATCTGCAGGAACAGTCGGCAAATAATCATCATCATTGACCTGCAGATCGCCCTCGTCAGTTGCCAGATCATCCGAGAGGTTTACAGTTCTCTCGAGGTGTTCAACGAGCTCCATCTGGGGGCCCCATGATGCAAGTCACCGCTTTGCCTCGGCACGAGTGGAACCTAAACCACAAGGACCAGATGCTGAGCCCTCTTCACTCGAGAAAAGACTCAGACGAGAACGGAGCGTTTTCAAAGAAAAAACACTCACAGTTCACACAGAGGGCTTCTTCGAGAACCTCCCGTGTATGCTCTTCACCCAGACAAAAAAAGCACAGTTGTGTGTGTCACCCGGGGTCAAGAACTTTGGGCATTTTAATTTCTTACCGTTTCCTTGTAGCATTCACAAACAGAAAGTCCCTGAAGACAAAAAGATGATTTGTCATGTTTATACTTTACTAGCAGATTGCATGTTAATCATTCACGTTACACATTCACATTCATGATTCACAGTCTGTCGCCGGTCAATATGATTGCCATGATTTGATTGTGATTTCAGAAATCTGTCACGTCTGAGGCGTTCCCCCGAAGGATCATTCGACGCAGTGCGAGTTCCCTTTCGGAAGGGAACACTGTTTGCTGCTTAATGTTTTTGTGGAAACCATTCAAGCATTTGTGGTAAGATTAAAAAAGAGAGAAATTAATACTTTTATTCATCGATGATGCATTAAATTATGTGACAGTGAAGACATTTATAATGTTACAAAGATTTCTAATTAATGGGTGTTTTATTAAATGTAATACATAAATGCTGTTCATTGAACTTTTTATTAAAGTATCCTAAAAAATATCACAATTTCCACAATTGATTGATTGGTTGATTTTAATATTATTATAATAAAACTGGACTGTGGATTCCTAGACTGTGAGTTCACACTGCCAGTGGTAAATGGATCCTGGGCCTGTCTCTAACAGTAAGAGGACATTTCCTTCTTCTAAAGTTAACCAAGGATGTGTTGCACTTACTATTTTAGCAGTTTGATTATTGTAAGTGATGCTGAAATGAACAACAGCATCAACAGACTGACTTACAGAGACTATTTGCAGTAAATACTGCTATGTTTAGTCACTGCCGGTGTTTAGGGTGACATATCCTACACTCACCTCCCCGTGTAAGATATTCATAACTCAGGGCTATTCATAGAACATGGTGGTGAAGTTAGACTTGAGCACACAGACACAATAGAGAAACTATCTGGAAGGGCCAGTTTTAGGGAAATGACCAGTGTTTACTCTATTGTTCCACATGACTGTGGATCATTTATAGCCTCTATTCCCAAACACATTATGTGCAGGAAGGTGGACTTAGCTATGGGTTTTTAACTACTGTTTTATCACTAACTTTACTCTCAGTTATTGTTTGTTTAAATAAACACACCAAATATGGGTGGGGGATTTTTTATTCAAATATAAATAAATAAAAAATAATTGGTAATGACAACAACAAAATATTTAAAATAAATATTTAAACAAATGTTAATATATATAGACTCATTTTTCTTTTTTTGCCCACTCATTTCTCAAGGACAAATAAAAAAATCTCACAGTTTCACAAGCCTCTAATGCATGATGGGTATTTTAGCTTTAGTGAAAAAGCAACAATTAAAACTGATTGGCTTCATTTGGCAGCGTTTAGCATCCAGCTGTTAACAAGGTAACATTTTTTCTAAGGGAACATTCATTCATTCTTCATATTGTGTCAGTCCTGTGTTCTCATTCCATTTATCCACTTTCTTCGGCTCAAAAGGGGGCTGATTTGGGGTCGAATTGACAAAAAATGAACTGTGGAACGACAAGTTTCACAGTCCCCTAGAATAATAAGTTAAAACTCAATAGGTACAGTGTGTTCTGAGACAGAATCTCCTCATCTGTTTCTACTGCAAAAACACACATAGTGTGTCGATAAGTGCATGCATTTGCTGTGTTATTGTGTGCACTTATTTATAGTCACATCACAATCAAGTTTAGGGGGATGACGCAAGTCTCTCAACACCTTGAGAGGTAGACCAATGAGCAAAAAGAACATTAGGGCCATACTTGTCTCTATAAATGGTGAAGGTTCTGACAGATTGGCAGACTAGGTGTTTGTCGTGTTATGTCAAACCCCAGCAAAAAGACAGTGCAGGTTTAAAGCTATATAGCGTGTCCTGATTTTGACAAGTTAGACACGTACTTGGGTCAACATATTTTGTTGACTCTGGAAAAACGTTACTGTCTGAAAACATATTCCTACCTATATCCCTATATGTTGTCCCTACAAGAAGTAAATGGGTAACACTTTACAATACAGGTGCACTAAAATACATTAATTCATGCTTAACTAATGCACAGATAATCATGAGTTAATGTATAACTCATGAAGAACTAAACCATTAATTAATGATTACAGCATTAGCAACTAATAAAGAGTCCATATGATTAATAGATTAAGTAATGCATGAATTGCTATTAATAATGTGTCATTGTGTATTATTTCCTTAATAACATATTTTATTAACTAATAGTGTAAATTAATGTGTTAATTACCAAGCTATGCACTTCAACTTCCAGTTGTCTGCTTTAATTAATCATTAGCTAATGATTTGCAAAGGTATGTTATGACTTTACTTTTTGGGGCACGTCATTTTTAAC